TGTGTCTGATGGGGTATTTATCCGGCACAGTCCTGGAGTTTAACATACGGTAGTCGCCACAAGGTCGCCAGCCATTTTTCTTGGGAGCTAGATGCAATGGCGAAGACCATGGTGACTTAGAGGGTCTGGCTGTGCCGTCCTTCAGCATCGCCTCAAACTCATCTTTTGCAATTTTTAATTTGTCTGGGGCGAGACGTCGCGGTGCGCATGAAACAGGCGGGCCAGGTGTGGTATGAATGTGATGTACCGTGTTGTGTATTGGTGTAGTGTGGATGCCATGTGGGCGAGTAATGTCAGGGAAGTCGCGTAGTATGTGATGATACGAGGACTCACCAAGAATCACCTTAACCGAAGAAATGGCATCAGACGATCGAACAGGTGAAGCCGGGGCGGCAAGCGATGTATTATTGTCAAGAAGGCGCTTGTTCCTGCAATCAACAACTAAGTTATAAAAAACTAAAAAATCAACGCCTATTATTGCCTTGGTGACATCGGCTACAATAAATTGCCAGGTGAAGTCACGGCGCAAGCCTAGATTTAAATTTAAATTTATAAAACCGTACGTGTTAATAGGCGTACCGTTAGCAGCGTTCAACTGGTAATTTGTTTTTTCTCGTCGTCCTGGCGCCGCTGACCGGGGGAAGACACAGAGGTCGCTGCCAGTGTCGACCAAAAATTGTATCCTTGACCTTTGATCAGTGACGAACAAGCGACCAGCAGTCGGACAATCATTAGTCGCTATCACTGATTGTCCCTGAAGTTTCCCGCCGTGTTGAAGTCACAAGGTTTCACGCATCTTTTCGCCCGGTCCCCAAACTTCTGATGATACCAGCATTGAGGGTACCGCCGGTAGCTCGACTGTGATCTCGTAGAATTCGAGCGCTGTCTGATATTACTACTCGATCGTCGCCGAGGTCGAGACAACCTCTGCACTTGCTCGGCTAACTTTTCAACTTGCCTGGTGAGAGCGGCGACCTCCGAGCTAGCATTGTACTCGGGTTTACATGGCGTTTTATTTATTGCGGATGTTGACGGTACTTGTATGCCCACGACGTCGTTTATTCGATCGGCTAGCTCCGCCAATTCCTCCATATTCGTCTTCGTCTGCGAGGCGATGATGGCCTGCGTACTGCTGGGTAAACGGCTCGACCATATGGTACGTAGGAACTCCTCCGGGACACCTGGACCGGCCAGGTTGAGAAGGTGTCGGTAAAACTGCGACGGTTTTCGGTCACCCAGCTCTTCGTCTATCAGCAGCTGCTTCACCTTCTTTTCCCTCGAAGCTGAAAGTCGCTTTATCAGCTCCCCTTTGAGCTTGTCATATTTGTCGTTAGCGGGCGGGTTAGAGATTACATCTTCCACTTCACAGGCGTACTGCGGCTCTAAATTTCCAATGACGTAGAAGAACTTCGTCTCATCAGATTTAATGTTCGATAGCGCGAACTGAGCCTCCATCTGTGAGAACCATAGTGCTGGTTTTTCTGCGTAAAACGGTGGTATACGCACACCCACACGAAATGTTTCGCTGGCAGCCTCTGCTGGATTATGAACGGGCGTTCCCTTGCTCATTCTCTTTTGTGTTCTTTCGGGGTCACCAGTTTAGTGTGTTAGTAAGATGTGACTTACCGTTTAGAAGCGGGTAGAAGTTTGAAAGGAAAAATAAACTTGATAGGCACACTGTAGTTTGGTAACTGTATATTCACACCTTTTACATATATAGACACACAGAAGAAAGTTACAGTCAGAAGGAGTAGGCGCAAGGAAATTAGAAAGAGTAAGTAAAATAGCACAATCACAGATTTTAGAAAGCGGCGGTATAGGCAAGAGCAATGCATAAGCAAACGTCGGCTTCGCGTCCCGGGTGTTTCAACCGAATGCCGGGCTAACACGAACGGCTGCGCCGGCGCGCCCGGCAAACCGGTTTCGCACCTTCGGGGCACGAGTGGGAGTCGGCGCGCAGGCCAATTCACTAATAACAAATATTGTTTGCGCGTCCGACAAATATACAAATAAATTAATATTAATAATATGAGAAATTAATTATTATAATTGAATATATATTAAAACAACAATATTTAATATGACACAGAGTATATAAATATAGTAAATTGTAAAATAATAACAAGAATGAAGTTATATAATATGAACATGTATAAAATTAGAGAAACGTACAATTATAAAATACACAAAACATAAAATACGCCACAATACCGTATTGTGATTGAAAGCTGAATCGGTATTCTGCTAATCTTAGTAATACTTCAATACGAAAATGCCTTTTATGACTTTTGTGATATCGAGAGTAAATTGGAACTGAATATAGAACGTATTTTTATTCATATATATATCAATATCATATCAACAGCCTATAATAGTCCAGTGCTGGACATAGACCTCTCTTTAGAATAAAGGTTTTGGCCTATTAATAGGTCTTTACCTAGGAAATTACCGTTTTGTATGCAATAAGTGAAAGTACTTATTTTTTCAAACTTTTTATTTCTGTTATTCGAAGTAATCACCCATGCAATCGACGCATCTTTGCCAACGCATTGGCAGTTTATTGATGCCCTTCTTGTAAAAATCAGCTGGACGGGAGGCCACAAACTCTTCAAAGGCATTTTGTACTGCCTCTCGGGAATTGAATTTTTTCCCACTAAAAAGTTGTCTAAATTTTGGAAAAAGTAATAGTCGGTATGTGCAAGGTCTTGTGGTCACATCTGCAACCAGCTTTGGTCAATCGTTCGTCCCCACTGCTCCTTCACGACAACGCGCGACCCCATACTGCACAACAGACAGTCTCCAAGCTGCAAGAGCTGGGGTTGGAAGCTCTCCCTCATCCGCCATACTCACCAGACCTTGCACCTACCGACTATTACTTTTTGAGTTTGTTTCAAGTTTTCCTTCCCTTTGCAGTGCTGTTGTCCTGCTTTGTATGTTTATTACTGGTTGTAAGTGTTGTGTATTAAGTGGCCAGTGGAACTTCAAGCAATCATATTGTTAATGCTTTCAATTAAACTGTGCAGTAATTGCAAAACAGAAAGTGTAGCGAGAATTGCGGCTGCCTTTGTCGATTGCCATCCCCACCACAACATTAATTTCTATGAAATTGTGCAATCGAGTCTTGTGTTTTAAAGTGTGGAAACCCACTCGGTCGCTACAAAAATACAGGATATGAGACTGCAACCGAAATAGGAGGGATCCGGGCAATGATTATTTATTTTTATTTATTTATTTAATTAAAACAACTATCATTATTGGTTTAGCCAGACGACGACGCATAAAGGACCACTCTTGAGTCTAAATGCGGAAACCGAAGCCCACAACCAATACCAATATCAATTGGTTTAGCCCAATGCGATAGTGTTAATATCTTTTTTAAGAATGCAGGATCTTGCAATCAAATCCTACTTTAAGCGATTTTTCTCATTTATTCATAATTTTTTATAGTATTGCCAGTCTGAGGAATGAAATAAAAAATGTTAGACTTTGAACCTAATTTGAAGCCTTGTTGAAGTTTTAAAGTTCTTATTAAACAAACAAGAATGTTAGGTAAAAAATGTACAGTATACCTATAGACGTATTTATTTTACATATTGCTAAAATGTATAATATATTGGTTAAAAAATTAAGTTTTTTTTTCACCAACGAACAATTTAAAACATTTCATTAAAAGTTATGAAATTATATGACATTGGATATTGTTTTAGATCACACCTGGAGAAAACAGTTATCAGTATTCGATGGACACCAATAAGTAATCTGGTATCTAAATTAAATCACCAAAGAATCCTATTTCTATTGGCGTATCCTTAATAATACTCTACTAACACTATAGACCAGGGATTCTCAAACTATTTTAGGCAAGAGACCCCTTTTCTAAAATGAACTTGATCATCAACGAACAATTTGAAACACTCATTAAAAGTGCATTAAGGTGATGAAATTATATGACATTGGATATTGTTTTAGATCACACCTGGAAAAACAGTAATCAGTATTTTATGGACACTAAAGTATTCTGGTATCTGAATTAAATAACCAGAGGATGCTATCTCTATTGACGTATCCTCAATAATACTCTACTAACACTATAGACCAGGGATTCTCAACCTATTTTGGGCAAGAGACCCCTTTTCTAAAATTAACTTGATACCTCAGACCCCCATAGCCAAATCTTTGTTGAATGTTGAGTTTTTTGAAAGTACAACAATGATACTTCATAATAAAATATTAGTTGTGTTACGTATACCAACTAGTTAGAACAAGTTGGTAAACGTAACACAACTAATACAGTATCTAGGAAGTTACAAACAAGAACTTATCTATACAAATAAATAAAATTGGAGTGTCTGTTTATAATGTCAAAATTATAGGGTTTTTTCATGCTCACACGGTTATTTGAACGATACCTATGCTTAAAAACCAGTTTTCTTTTGTCTGTGTGTCTGTTTGTTAACGGGTAATCTTCTAAACGGCTAGACTGATTTCGATAATATTTTACTACCAGGTAGTTGTCTATATAAGGAATAACTTAGACTATTTTTCCTCTCAGAAAAAATCCTTTAAAATTTTGCCCGGTCCGGGCATCGAACCCACTAAGGCAGCGCTTTTCAAATTCCACGCGAAGTCGCGTGTACCAGCTGGTTTGGCATAAGTCTGTACAATGACAGCTCAAAGTATTCTGGTCGATGAAATGAAACATGACTGCCTCGGTGGTGCAGTGGAATCGTATGCGATTGCTTTGCTGAGGTCACCAAATGCTTGTATGATCTGCAAATATTTGTTTCGGAGTTTGGGTGTTTTCTATTTAGATAGGTATAATATGTATGTATTGACAAAAAAAAAGGATATAAGTATTCTATCAGTCAATCTAGCTTTCATAGTACAAGCTCTGCTTAGTTTGAAACTAGATGGCGTTGTGTGTCAAATGTCTGCAATATTTCCTATACGGTCGTCATCTTAATAACTCAGACTTTTTATATGAAAATGTATATGATTACCTGGAAAAACATCCAAGTTGGGTATTCTCCCAACTTGACAGCTATGCAGGCGCCCAGCGCTATGAACACTGTTGATATGCTGTCACAGCCATGGTCGAAGAGTTCTCCGAGAGGCGACTGACTGCCCGTCCGGCGGGCTTGTTTACCGTCTATTGCGTCTAAGCTTTGGTATATGAAGACGCCTAGCGCGCAGAGAGCGCATGCCCATCGTGGCGGTTCCTGCCGCGCGTCAGGGCTGTACCTGTAAGTTAATGAAAACTGTTAGATTCTATTGCTAGGTTTTTTATTCATCAGGTTTGAATTTAAAAGTAAACTAAACAATAATAATTTTATTTCGGACATCTAACACACAACGCCATCTAGTTTCAAACTAAGCAGAGCTTGTATATACTAGGAGAACTAGATTGACCAAATTGATGATTGATGAGTGACTAGAATAGAAAAGTAATACTTTTATATTATTTTTTTGTAAATACATACACATTATGTATAAGAAAACACCCAAACTCCGAAACAAATATTTGCAAATCATACAAATATTTGGTCCGATCCGGGGATCGAACACAAGACCCCAGTACATGATTCGCATACGCTACCACTGCACCACCAAGGCAGTTCAAATGTTCTAAACTGTAAGAGCACTGACATTTTTTCGGTTTGTCACACTTTTAGGTCTTAACCAGCCAACCGAAGACCATTAATGGTTGAGGGTTATTGGATACAGATTTGAAAGGGCTGAGGTTCTTCAAGCAAGCAATAATAATTCAAAATTGGCTCTCCCATTTAGCCAGGCCAGAACCAGGAGGAGCCAAAAAGAGACAGATTCACAAATTTAACTCAAAACACCTCTCTTTCTCACATTGGGGAAAGATACATTAAGTTAAAATCTACATTAATTATAATTAATTTAATTTTATATACCTAGATATATTTATAGCTCATTGTACCTTTATTAAGGAGCATTTAGACACTTAAAACTTCCGCAATAGAAATGCCTCTATATTCGTATTGCAAAAGTTTAAGCCATCATACCATATGAGGCAATTTGGACTTTTTATTGGAAATGTGTGAATAGCCCTGTTTATAATTTAACATTACGTTTTTAAGAAAAGAAAATTTTTTTCAAAGACTGGAGGTTAAATGGGAGTAAAACAATAAAATTTATAGAAACAGCTGTCAATCCAGCTGATAGAACAGCTGTTTAATATTAATATATTCAGAAATATGTAGATATACTAATAATTTGAATACAAAATTGTCTTATTAACATGGTTATCACTGAAACATAGACAATTATAGACAATGGTATGTCTTGAAATTCTATACCATCATTAATTATTGTTTTATAACAGAATACCTAACTTTTTTTGATATAGGAATAATAACTTTTTGCAGAAAGGTTCCCCCAGTCCATCTATCTGTCTGATAAACAGAATAGTTTAAAGACATGGTAATAGAGAAAACAGTAATTCCGTGTGGTGACACATTAAGGATCATCCCGTGAGTCGACTAAGGGAACTAACTATGCAGGACAAACTCCCTGCAAACAGAAGGAAAACTTAAAACAAACCTTATACCAACCTGTCTGGCCAGCATGGCATAGTAGGCCAAATTCTAAAGAGAGGCCAGTAGTGGACTATTCAAGGCTGTTGATGTTGATAAGCCATTATATTTTTCACATCAACAAAGTAGTAAAATAAAGTCTAAAAAACAATCTCAACATTAGGTGATGTTTTTATTTCTTCTGGGTTTCTTTGGGTTTTTATTGAAGTATAATTTTCCAAAACTGCATGGTAAAGGGCATTGTTGGATAGATCTGCCTAAAATATTGAGGAAGTGTCAAGAGTTTAATTCACTGATCTGACAGACTAAGAAGTAAAAGTATTATGGCTCAATTAGCTCTGTCAGGTAGTTTAAGAGTAATAGTCACCCAATTTGAAAAATATACATATAAGCATGGATAGTGTAGTGGTTTAAGCGGTTTCCACTCTGCTTCCTTCTACGCTGAGTGTTGTGAGTTCGAGCCCAACATGCGACAACACTTTGTATGATCCACAAATTGTGGTTCTGAGTCTGAGTGTTCTTTGTGTCCATTTCATGTATGTTTGTAAAGTCCCCCCAACACTAGATATATTCCTAGTTCAAACGTTGTCTAATATATTTAATTGGCAAATTTTACAATAAATCGAAATTACTTAGAAAAATATACTTAGCTGTAATTCTTACTTATGTAAATCAGATAGTAATAAACTTTGCAATCACACTGTTCGTGTGACCTGACCACACTTGGCTGTTTAACACTATTATGAAACAATAGATCTAATTATACTGCTATGTTTTAATGAAACATTTCTGATGAATAAAAAACTCATTTTCTATTAACTTTTTCATCACATTTAAAACATACAGTTACGAATACAGTTATCGCTTAATAAGTCTGTTTTATTAATGAATATAGTTGATTTTAATACCTGCAAAAATAATTTCTATCTCTTTAGCTAAATTTTCTATTCGGAACGTAAACTTGAGATCTGAATAGACATTTAAACATTTTAATAGATTCATCATGGTTGTTTTCAACTTAACATCATCACATCAACAGCCTTTAATAGTCGACTGCTGGACATAGGCCTCTCCTTAGAAAGGAGGTTTTAGCTGCTATACCACGCTGGCCTGACGGGTTAAGTAGTTATCTCGCTTTGTCAGATCTTATGACACCCATGGGATGAATAGGGGTGACACTCTGTATTCTTAATCCATCACCACACAGACGGACTGACAACTTATTAAAATTTAGCAGCCTAGTAACCCTTAGAAGATACTTAACGTTTACAACTCATATGATAAAATAGGTATAAAAATTAATTTTATATTTTAGTATTCATTTAATATCCAATTTTAGATAAAAAAATACAGTAAAAAAACTGAAACTGAGGGTCACAGGAAATACCTACTCAGATTAAGTTTAAAAAGAGAACACCACTTCCCAAAATGTTCAAGACCTCCCATTCCAAATTTAAAAAAAAGTCAATTTATTAAAATTCAATTTTAAATAGTTGATCATGTTGTCTATTACATTCTCAATTCAAAAAAGAAAAACTGTGTGATAATGTCATAAAATAAGAAACCAATCTTTATTTCTTAACAAGATATTTAAGGCAAATGTTATCAGATTAGAGCAACATCTACTCTTAGAATATAGTTAGTTCTGTTAATTTATTTAGACAAATTTACTTTCACCAAGAGGTGAGACAAAAACTAACCTCAATATGGTTGGTAAGTCTAAACTTAGATGATGAAATTAAGGAGGTTAATAACTGTTTAGAACAATTTAAGACCAACACTATTTTTAACAAAATTACAAATGTGTTTAGATCAAAGTACTTTAATTTTTTTAATTTGAAATAAATTAGTTTGTAGGCTGCTAAAACATAAATAAGGCAGATACTACAATTCTTATATCCATTAAATATATTTTTATATCAACTTTATAAGGACTTTTTGTTGGTTATAAAAAATCCACTTTCTTGAGCCTAATTTTTTTTAAATTCACTGCTTAATTTAAGAACTAAGCCGTTTTATAATTCAATAATAAAAAATTATTTACATTTTCGAATTTTAAATGTGAAAATATTTGTATTAGGAATAATTTAAGCATCAGAGAATCTCTTAGTGAAAAAAAAAAACTTATTATTGTGTAATATAATGTATGTGATACAGTTTAACGCATTAACTATAGAATCAATGTCAGGCAGCCTATCAGTTTAGCCTTTAGACGAGACACTCTCAGAGATGGCCAATAAAAGTATCTTATCTTTACTGCTTGTGGCGCGACTTTACAACAACCAATCGCAGACTTCAATTTTTCACATACCAATATGTAAACAAGCCAATACTTCAACATTATAATGGACAATAAAAATATAACATGAAACCTATCTAGTATTTTAGCTCCGCTACTTAGAAAGCTGAGAAACAGAAAAAGAAAGTCGTTACGGTTCGACGATATCTATGACACAGTTTTTTTTTAATGATTAACCTTTAATGTACTTACCAAACTAAAATAAGTGTGGTGAATATATTAACTATTAAACCTAATATTGTGATGAGATTCGGTGCTAGCCATAGAGGTGTTTTAGACACTAGCCAGCACCACCACGGTTGGAGCCATGCATCCAATATACTGGCACTCGAACAAGAATATTTATGTTCACTAAGTCTTTTTAACTGTGCAGCATTGAGTATTCTCTCCTTGTAGAACTGCATTTTATTTCACTGTCACGACATTACACAACTAAATATAATATCACCATTTAATATTTTCACGAGATAAATTCGCAAAATCACATTCACATCACACCACTGTCAGTAGCCATAGATAATATGTCACTTTTTTGGTTCTTGATGTACTTGACACACGGAACGGAACTGTCAACCACGCGTTCATTCACCATAACTTTATAGCAATGCTGCCAATTTTTAGTGAATCCATTTTACAGGTTTTGAAAAAGAACCAACATCGAGTTAAAGTGTTTAAAATTAATATTCTAAGGTGTAACAAAATCTTGTGATATCTATTTAAAAAATGATGTGTTTTTATTTATGATTATCAAAGAAACATTTTCTTGTCATAAAAAGGTTTTCTTTTATTTACTAACACCTGTTATTCTGAAACAATCTCTATTTTATCTGTTTAAAATACTAGGTCCAAACAAAGGCGTAGTGACGTGCAATACGCGTAGTGATGGCAACGCCACATTTCCCTACACTGGTTATGTAAAACCTATAATTGCCTAGTGTTGTATGTATTATTTTTTAATAGTGCTATAGTAACGATTTTACAACTCAAATTTGATTAATTTTTCATTTTGAACTCGCATCGGCGGTGAGGTCTAGGGTTCGATTACCGATTTGATTCGATGGCGATGTGCGTCAGATGTCCGGAAAATATTTATTAATTTCTATTAATTGATGTGTAGATTAGATAAAGTAGAAATGTAAGGTGAGAAAGATAGGTTACATTATGATCACTTATTTAGTTGTACTAATGATAGGCCTATTTATAGATGCAAGGCCGGCTTAAAACCAATCCGTTTAAAACGAAAAAAAACCGTTTTTTAATTTTTTTCGATTTAAAACGGTTGATGTTGATGACTATGTTTTTCTTAATTATAACTACATTTTCTTATTTTAACTAAGTTATAAAAACTTTATTGATAAGTTAAAAACTCTGCGTTAGTAAATAACCATTTTTTTATTGTTTTCCAACGATATAAATAATCAATTCAATGAGGGTTTTCGATATTTTTTCTGCCACCAGACGGCGCTTCGTATGCGTAAGGTCCAAACCGCTGTCAACAATTTTTTAGTGAAATTCTATGAATTTGGAAGTGTTATTGAGTTTATTATAGATAACGGCCAGGAAAAGGTTGCCGAACTGAAGATTAAGCTCAAAAAGAGAGGCGCAAAAGTTTTATTTGCACACATAGGCACTGCACAACACTGTGGCATTTTAGAAAACAATATTCCTTTTGTAATGTTTTTAAGAATGAATAAACCAAAAAATTATCGAAAAATACAAATCGTGTATGTGTTTTGACAGGTGGTTGGACCTGACGCTACAGTGCTGCCGTCTCACGTGGAACATTTCAGAAAACCCTCATTCGGTTTAAAACCAAACTCAAACTCTCGCACTCGCACTCGTTGACACCGTCAGCACCGGCGCGACGGCCTTGAAGACATAACGTTGTCTCTTTCATGCTCATGTCCGACGGTCGGCATTGTGTTAATGATGTCTTCTAATCTAGAGTGTGTAATATAATGTAATAAATAAGTATAGGTAGGTATACTATTTAACATATTACAAAAAATAATGTGTCATTTACCACCAAATAAAAACGTTAGATACGTTGCACATTTAATGTAGATCCAAATTGCCGTTGTAAATATCTTAGTAGATTGCAGAGGTTTAAGATGTGGGAACACGCCGCGTTATGCCGTACGCCAGTCCGTAAAGTGAAAGTTATTATACGTTTATTTATTGTATATAAAACTCATTGACTATTTTTGCAAGTTTAATTATTATTTAAGCCAATATAAATTTATCCTAGGCTAGTGCAGTGCCATTGACCGGACAACCCCCGTGTACAGCCGTCTTGTCGCAACGCTGGGTCCACCCAAATTGGGTAAAAGTCGCCTAAGGGCAGACGTAGCGCTGACAGGCTTATAGCTCTATAGGCTAGTCTCAGTAAATACTAAAGTATTTACTAAGACTAGCAGATTACCGATTCAATTTTCGGTTACAGTACGATATAATCATATTATAGTCAATAATACTTTACTACGAAAATTGACCTAACTTTTATTACGATAATTGGCCTTCAACCCTAAGTCGTCTGGCGTCGGGGCACCTGCGGGAGTCTACCCACGCTCCGTCTTCCAGTACGCGGTCGCAACTCGAGAACTTTTTGGCCTCGTCAGACATCGTTTCAGCGTGAAATGTTTTTAACGTGGTCACTTTGAAATATCGTTTAATAACAATTTGATACCGCCACTTCTAGCGGTAGATTAATGCGTTGCAAAACTTGCTGATCGGAAAAATCTGGATCAACGACGTAGAAAAGCGAGTCAGAACTTTAACTGGCTGTGATTGTTTTCAATTGCATGTCATTTATGTATATACTCTGTAATGTTATTAGCTAACGTAAATTAAATCTGACATCCTGTTTTTACTTTACTTGACAAACCCGTCACCGGCCCGGCACTACCTTACATCGATTAAAATTTATAACCCTGTATAGATAGTTCAACTCAGTTGTGCGCGCGGCCCTATGTGTGCGTGGGCTTGTAAATATACAACTTTCATTCGTGTGGCAGTGACGCGGCAGTCGTCGTCCGAGCAGCACAACTGAGTTGAACTATCTATATTAAGACTTCATTCTGTTGTATGGGCATTTCGAAAACTTTCTTGAAAATTTAAGTAAATAGATTTACTAGATAAAGGACTCGTCTGCTACGTTGACAACGTCGTCTGATTATAATTATTAACTAAATGTATAAGTAAGTACCTGACTTAAGCTGAAAGTGGACCTACATTATTTAAACTGTTGTTCTTCGAAAGTTTATTTCTTTCTCTGAAAATTTGTGACAAAAAGGACAACCTCGACATATTTCATAATTATTTTTTAACGTCTGATACGAACAACGTGCGTATCTCCCTATCCGTGTGACTGGGTAACTTTGTCGCTGTGTATCATTTTTTTTATGTTAGACGGGACGAGCAGACGGGTCACCTGATAGAAAGTGACCATCGCCGCTCATGAACGTCTGCAACTCAGGGGTCATAAATGCGTTGCCGGCCTTTTAGGAAGGAGTACGCTCTTTTCTTGAAGGTTTGAAGGTCGATCGGTCCGAAAATACCGCAGACGATAACCCGTTCCACAGATTCAGAGATCTTTGTATCTTGCTTCTGTTTGCGTAAAAGAATTAAATCATATCGGTCAATCCGTTTAGGAATTAAGATGCTACAGATTGACACGCAGATACACAAACAATTTGTGTTGGATTGACCGATTTGATTTAATTCTTTTATTCTTAGCTTACATTTTGTTTCTCCATACGAAGACCAGAAACTGTATTGACTGACGTTGATATTTTAAAGTATTTATGCATATACATGTACATATATGCTTGTTCTTTATCTTCTGGAAATATAGAAAAATTCATGTGAATCCATATAGGGGCATTCCGTACTTAGATAGTAACAGTAAACCTCCAGTACGTGCTCACCTAGACGTATAGTTATCCATATCATAACTGTAGCGCGGCGTTGCTTTTTTTTTTTAAAGACTACTCCCTCACTAAAAATAAATCCTGTGTCGCGGGAGACTTTACAAATATACATTAAACGGAGACAAAGAACACCCAGACTCAGAACAACAAGTTGTGAATCACACAAAGTGTCGTCCCATGTGGGGATCGGACCCACAGCACTCGGCGTAGTAGTAAGCGGCGTGTGACCGCTTAAACCACTACGCCATCCGTGCAGTCATCTCGACAACCATAAATACTTACACCGCGTCACTTTCGACTCTGTGGTGGCGAGTACAAGGTAGAACATTAAACCAATTACAACACAAAAGTTTTATTTCAACAATAATTACATTACAATTATTACAAAGACAATATAATACTTTCCAGTCACAAATTACATTTAATGTGAGAACAACCATAGATTCAGATAGGTGTACAATGAAGTCGTATTACAGTGTCAAAATATTTATCTTAGTATTGTACTTGTTAATTCATCCATTGGAATAATATTAATTTAGTACATGACAATATTTTAAACACTTAATTAGGTGTAGATTTTCTTTCAATTTATATAATAGGACGAACCAACATTGCACCAGTGATTAAAAGAAAAAATATATGTGTTAGTCTATTTGTCTTTTAGCCATAAATGCAAAACTTTGTAACTCCTTGTCTGTATTAATAACAATAAGTTTTGATTCTCCAATAAAAATATGTATAATATTTTTTATATAAGTAAATAAAAACTAATTTAATAACTGACGTTTTAGTATCATCTTATACAAGTGTTATCTATTTTTAGTTTGGCTTTTTCTTGCTTCGATTCTTTTTTGTAACGTAACTAAGAGAGCACCTAAAACATTATGACCGGGGAGCCGCTTTCCGAACAGCAACCTCTTTACAGAATCATCATATGTGAGTAAAGCTACCATATTTTGAAGTAAGAATCCTTGACAATATTCCAGCAGTTGAGTAGCACCGTATACCTGCAATTAAACGTTTTTATTAGTGAACAGATTTAAATTCCCCTGTTTTAAACTTTTCTCCGTGTCAGGTAAAGTATAGAGGAGTTTTGGAAGAATTTTTAACAGAAATACTGGCAACACTAGACATGAGACATATCGTGCCAGCTGGCTCCGCGAATGATATCGTGCCAAAATCACAGTGAACTATGATTTATGATTCGATTTTCGCGTACGTAGGTTAGGGTTGCTGTGTAGATAGGTTAGACGCTATTTAACAGTAAATCTAGGGTTTTTTTTTGTAAATTATTATGTAGGGAAAGGTAGCTACGTGTAATAAAATAATTACTAGATTTGCTCTTAAATAGGCGAAATAGAGTCTTTATGCATCGTCTAAAAACAGCTTATTGGCAACAACACGTGAGTAAGTAGTAACCCTAACATACGTACGAAAAAATCGAATGATAAATCACCGTTCATTCACAGTTCACTGTGATTTTTTTCCCATTTCTAGGCAACACCGTCTTGTTGTCAAAAGGTGATAATCCTGCAGAATTAGGGATAATTAGTCGCAGAACGACCTCCGTCCTCCATAAGCGCAGGCCTGGGGGTGACAGGTGAGGCCATCTGTCACCCTAGCAGAAGCAGGCCGGGGTGGCGGCGAGCGCGTTGCGCGTTGCACGAGCACAGGGAACATGGGATTCCCACACGGGGGGGGGGGGGGGGGGCGTCTACTCGTCTGTAGATGACCCGAGGTATGTCGGGGCACCAGGGACTTCCTTTCTAGGGTATACCTGGTTGACCGGCTATTAGTACCCGAGACGGCGTGCGGTTTTAGTCGGTTCGTGTCCGACATGCCACCGATAGGTGGTCACCGAGGAGATTGCCGCACGAAAAAAAAAGAAGAAAAATAAGGAGATAATTAGTAGTGGTTACCAACTCACCTTGGCATGAATATAAACTGAGACCAGATTATGTAAATCCACTGACTTGGCTGCTCGCGCTTCGCAGTGCCTCTGCAGCGGCAAGAGCTGGAAGAACGAGGCTGCTGCGAGTACCTCTAATACATCAGTCTCGGGAATGTCAAGTCCAGTGCAGCCACCGGAATACAAGTACTTCATCACTTGCTATGATAAAAAAAACAACAATATTATCTATGTCTTAGAAATCAATATACTTGTCAAAGATTAGGTATACAACACAGATTGCTGGAGGATAAGTAGCTACTTATGAGTATAAATATTATTATATTAACAGTAGTAGTGGCAATTGCGCACTGTTAACTTCATATCTTGCCATCAAACATAAATAAAATGCAAATAGACCTTTTTAGGTACTATTATAAAAAAAACTAGATAGTCCGCGTACTGTCTATGATTAGCTTTCAGAGGGAACGGAGAAACACACTCAAGAATCCAGGAATACAAAAATGCTGAGTTCACTGCACTATTTATCACTGTTCAAGGCTTAAGGCGGCGATTCCAATGGCTAGGCAGGGTCCTTTACGGGGTTACTTTAATCGTTACAAAACCTACCAAGTAAGAATCTGAACTTGAGTCTCACCACATATCCCTTGTAAAAGATACGCAGTAATTCCAATAAAATATTTCTACCACATTCAATAGACAACTACGCAAAACTGAACTTTTTTCTAAATAAATATACATCGAGAAAGGCTAAGAGTGTTCCGGTATTCAGTAATGATACTTACTTCAAATATATGATACCGGATATCGTTGATTTGGACAAGTGGTGGCGTAGCATTCGCTGGTGGCAGCGCTTCGTTTGACGACCTGGGTGGCGCCAGCATGGCTCGCATTCGCGGCGATTCGGACACTAGAACTATCTTGTGGCCGTAGAACAATCGTCCTTCCACCCTGAAAAAAGAAAAAAACAGGGTATCATAAAAAATCGTTCAATTTTTTTTTAATACAACTCCCGCATTATGAATATATCCTGTGTCACGGGGGACTTTACAAACATACATGAAACGGACACAAAGAACATCCAGACTCAGCGGTCACCACGCCGCTTCCTACTACGCTGAGTGTTGTGAGTTCGATCCCCACATGGGACGACACTTTGTGTGATCCACAAATTGTTGTTCTGAATTGGATGTTCTTTGTGTCCGTTTCATGTATGTTTTTAAAGTCCCCCGTGACACAGGATATATTCCTATTGCGGGAGTTATCTTTTTAAAGACAAATAAAAAAAATAAGATAATTATCATACCTGAAGGTGACGTCAGCGAGCGAGGGGTTATTGACGTAGGAGGGGTCGACGCGCGCGGGGGGCGGCGCCTGAGGCGGCGGCGGCTGCGCCACGGGGGGCACGCGCTCGCGCCCGTAGCACGCGCACAGGATGTCCGCTAGCAGCAACACTGTGCCTTCCTTCTAAACCCACACGCCATTGTGTGAAAAGAGTAAACATTATCACCTAAATCATTCTACCGTACCTAATTGTATTGTTCTACTAATCAGAGTTGACAACAAAATTTAACGAAAACTGCATTTGAAATAAGATCAAAAGCTCTGTACAATGATCAAATAAAAGTTCCAGCGCCTAATAATTTGCGCAATCTACAATACAACAATGAACTTAATTGAGTTCTTTCGTTCATCAATCTTTCAGAAATTGGGTGTCAGTTAATCTTACTAAGATTATTTTAAGATTTTTAAACATGGGACAACTAGATTTTATCCTTAGCTCGAAAGGTTTATTACTATCGCCGCTCTGACGTAGACGAAGTCATACTTGCGAAAAAAAATCCTATGCAACGTCTATGGATTGAACGATAAAAACCATAGAGATGTAAGCATAAAGAAAATACGGGTACAGCTGCCTGTAAGTGGAAGCAATACAGGCAACGGGAAAGATGAATGCCCGATAGTTTCCTCTGTTTCTGTTTGGCTAAGCTGCGATTGGCTATCGTGAAGTGGGCATGGGTTTGATTGTGGAACAGGCGGGAGAATATAAATTTGCCCAGCGAACCACAGAGCTCGACTAGAAAGAGATAGAGGGAACTATCCATTACCCATCTCTCTCGTTGCCTATATTGCATTATTGGGGATCTTATTCACTCTATGCTTAAATCTCTATGATAAAAATTTAGGGTTTAACTATGGTAAAGTGTGTAACGCTTCATGAATAATACACCAGGTGACTCTGTGTGTATGATGGTGGCCTATGATTGGTTAGAACTCTCTGCCGGGCGATCATATTAAATTAAACAATACCAAACTAGTACTAAATAAGAACAACATGAGGCAATACATTACCTTGCTGTATCGTAAAATATTAAACAGCAGGGGGAGGCACTCGTAAATGAACTGTTTACTGTAGTGGCTATCATCAGACGGGCACACCTGTAACAAAGTTATTAAATTGGCAATATTAGTAGGTGTTGCCAGTGTTTGAAGACTGACAATCTTGTAATGCGAATAAGTCAAAATTGTACGATAAAGATAACATTGTTAAATATATGGGCCATAGACTATAAGAAATAAACCCTGTACGAGGTACGCTATTGTTTGTGTTTGTTAGGCCTTTTTAGGTGTTCATATTTAAACCTCTGGCTCAATTTAAGGTTCTATTTTTAGGGGGCGTTGTTGTAATATAATGTAAAACTGGTTTTTATTAAAATTCAAAAGGGCTTGCAACGTCTGACACTAGTAAAGCAGATAGTTGATAAACGACCTTCGTTTGGTTCGAAAATATTCGCATGTTACCTGTAAAAAGTCTTGTAACAGTTGATCAATGACGTCATCGAGGGCTGCATCTGCTGCTGCAGCAAGAGACAGAGTCCACGCGTGCAGTGACCACGGTACTCCAAGCGTGTGCAGCTCTAGTGTGATATCTGGAACAAGGTGTTGAGTGACTGTTAATGATTTGTATTTAGGAGCTATAGAAAAGTATTCTATGACTTATAGGATTAATGGGATGGGCACCTCATAGTCCTGAAGTAAGATGTAGGATAAAGCAATGTGTGCCTCGATGCCTTTTCTGTGATTGAAAAATTGATACTTATGTCTTTTGCATGGATGCGTTTATAAAGAACGAAACGAAAACGAAAGAAGTACTTATAGTCCTTTCGCGTTAAGGAAAATGAATGAATGAATGAAAAAATGAAATGACGCATTGATCAAGCCCCGCCCCTGACCAATCAGGTCCCAAGAAATTATCGTTTCGTACAGAAGCTAGGAACCTTTTTGGTCAGGGAAATTTATCGACGTGTCATTATTTTCTTAACGCGAATAGACTGTAAGGTAATGTTTTTCTTGTCTAATTGTGTTTTCTAATATTTCGAATAAAAAAAACTTCTGTAGTGAGATCTCTCTCTATTTGGTGTTAGCTGACGTCAGCTGCTGAGGCTGTAGTTTTTTTTTGTAAATTAAAGTTTCGAGAGAGAGTATCCAAGTTTTTATTTCTGTGCAAAACGACCTTCACGTCTTCAGTCTAAAAAATTTGTACATCGGCTCACCTAAGTGATCAGTCTCGGCGGCACAATACATGGCGTCCTGCAGCGCCCTCTGCTGCTGCTTGGTGAAGGTGGGCGCGCGGGCGGGCGGCGCGGCGGCGCCCTCGGCCAGCACCTCCTCCAGCGACAGCACCGCGCCCGCGCCGCCCCGCGCTCCTCCCCGCACCGCCGCACGCAAGCACGCGCGTCTCCCGTGCGTGCAGCACACCGCTACCGCACTGGAAACATAATCAAAATACACTACTTACCACGCAATTTCCAAAATACAATTACCCAAGATTTTGCTTTCTAATTTGTTTAATTTTCTATGAGTTAATGTGTGTTTACTTAACCGTAAGTACTTAACCGATCATCACTAAAATTGGCACAATTACACGTTGTCAGGGGAACAGAAAAACGACAAACAGTAAGTAAAGCACTTCATGCACAAAAAATGCTGTTTCCGAGAAATTTTCAGTAACGCAATCGAAGTTGCTGGCAAAAATTAGGGTATTATAATTCATATGACAAATTTAATTTGCTGCCGAATCATTCCCACTCTGTAAAACAATTTATTTTGATTTCGAGCTGGTAAACAATTTTTAAAAAAAATGGATTTTTTAATTAAGCTTAAATTATACCTGTAACAGCCGTACTGAGCAGCCACTGAGTAGCACAGCGCATCATTGAGTTGCGTAGAAAGGAACGGATCAGCGCCATGAGCCAACAGTAACTGAACCAGCTCTAAGTTCCCTACACCACACGCCACCTGGAAACAGAATTAAAATCAAATCAATAAATCTATAATTTATGGCATAAATATTACGTTTAAAAATGACAAATTTAACCAAAATTTAGGATTAGTTAATTACCATTTAAATTTGTAAATCGCAATTTAAAATGTATTAATTACTCTGTACGTCCATTAATCTATGGTAATAATGAATTACTTGAGACGTAAAAGGGTTGCCAATTCAAAAAATAAATGATTCGTTGCTTATATTTTAAAATTTATATAATGTACCAGTCATTATATCATTACATTCATTATATTATTGTAGTTATGGCCATTGCAGGCCATAACTACAATAATATAATAATAATAAAAGGATTTTTTGCATTAATTCAACTTAATCTAATCACAAGAATTGTTGGAGCACTCCTTTTAGACATATCAGTGCCTGTGCCATAACTAAAATGACTGTTACATTTACGAAAATTTTGCTGAGAAACTTCTGTGATAATTCCACTTCTTAGTTTAATCACACAGTACTTCATTAAAAGCCTTTGACAGTCCACCGCTAGACCTAGGCCTCTCCTTAGAAAGGAGGTTTTGGCCTACTATACCACGCTGGCCAGACGGGTTGGGTTTGTGTTAAGCTTTTCTTCTCTTTGCCGTGTTGTTGTACTGCGTAGTTTGCTTCCTTAGTCGGCTCTTACGACACCCACGGGATAAATGGGGGTGGTGACAATCCGTATTCTTAATCCGTCACCACACGGACAACACTTAACACTCCGTTTCTCTAACTATTTAAGTTCATAATTAAAAAACCAAAGATGACCGCTCCAAATCAATCATCGGAGAGGTTTAATGAAATGTGATACTGAAAAGAAAGGTACCTTTTACCCATTTTACTGTGAAAGAATTAGAACTCTGGCGAGAATGCGTAGGGTACTGACCTGTAGAGGAGTTAGCGTGCACACATCATCTCCCCGTGCCGGCGCTCCGTCCACTCGGGCACCAGCTACGAGCAGACGACGAGCACATTCCACCGCTCCAGTTGCTCCGACGCCACCGCCAGCACCGCTGCAAGCGTAAACCAAGGCTGTCCACCCTGAAGACATTGAGACTTTATAACAGTGTACAATCATTGATCGGTGGTGCAGGGGTATTGTATGCGACTGCTGGGACGAGGTCTCCGGTTCGATTCCCGGGTCGGACCAAATGTTTGTTTGTATGATCTGTAAATATTTGTTTCGGAGTTTGGGTGTTTCCTATGTATATAAGTATCCTAAGTATTTATAAAAAAAAAGTATGTAAGTATTATATCGGTCAATCTAGCTTTCATAGTATAAGCTCTGCTTAGTTTGAAACTAGATGGCGTTGTATGCCACATGCCCATATATATTATTATTCGACGTTTTGAGTGAGTGAATAGTCACTCACTTTTACACTACACTATTATTTTTTAGTTTATGTTAATTAAAAATTAAATAAATAAAACTTGTGCAATGGGAGGAGCCTATGTAAAGGTGATTATGGCTGGACATGGAGATAAATGACAGGTCACTTAGGTAATGAAAAGTGTCTGCCTTTCTCCCATGGATATCTACAACTTTAATCGCCCTCATGGTCGGAAGCGGAGGGAGAGGTTGTTTCTGGATTAACCTTACTCCTTAACACCGGTTTTCTTAAAATTCATCATCATCATCATCAACAGCCTTTAATAGTCCACTGCTGGACATAAGCCTCTCCTGGGAAAGGAGGTTTTGGCCTACTATACCACGCTGGCCAGACGGGTTGGTAAAGGGTTTGTGTCAAGTTTTCCTTCTCTCTGCAGTGCTGTTGTCCTGCTTAGTTTTTTCCCTTAGTCGGCTCTTACGACACCCACGGGATGAATAGGGGTGGTGACACTCTGTATTCTTAATCCGTCACCACACGGACCCAAAATTACGAATACAAATTTTGTTTAAATACTTAACCTTTAATTTTGAAATGTTGCATAGGCGTTTTAAGACGTTTGAAATAAGCTATAGGTGCATACCTTTATGGTGAAAATGCATACCTTTATGCTGTTCCCGGGAGATACACATCTACTCAGCCTTAATAAAGTAAGGCAAAAAAAAAAAAAAAATCGTGTCAAACCTGCAGTGGGTGGTGTATAAGCGGGGGTGTTCTGAGGTGTTGAAGGTGAACGTGGAGACAACGGTAGAGCGCAGTGCGCCGCACTTGAACCACCTGTCTCTATATTAGGGTCTGCGCCTGCTTCTAACAGCATCTGGAATAAACATTGCACGGAGGTAGAAAATAGATGATCGCCTCTTGAATTGAAGCTGTACCACCAGTACAACACATCTTACAAGAGATTATCAGTTTTTACCCTAACCACATTGGAAAATAATCCACAAAAATAATTAACTACGATATTCTAACTTTAAGAAATGGATAATCATTTTTCATTATTACCGCAACAATTTGTTCATCCCCGGCGAGTGCCGCCTTCATGAGCGCCGTGAGCCCAGAAGCATCGCTAGCATCTATACCAGCGGACGGCATCAAGGACCTCACTCCTCCAACTAACTCCGCACGTCCACTAAGCATAGCCCGTTGGGCTACGCCAACAGCAGCTCTGGAGAGTTCGTCTGGTGTTCGAGTGCACCGGGACCATACTGGTTCTATTGCTTCTTCCGATCTGTAAAAAATAATGATATTACATTATCAACTTAAAACAGCTGTTAATTTTATACTTCAATGAGATCCAATGAAGCTCGATCAGAAACAGGCATAGTTCAAACAAGTGGATGTATTCTGTAATTTCTGTGCTTTATAAGTCCGGTCCCATATGAAGACCATACACACACGCACACACAAACAAAATACACACTTAACTACTAGTAGTACTCGTAGTAGTAGTTACAATGATAATCACGAGAATTTCGAATCTTTAAGAACCATTTTCAATTATTTCAAGCAAAAAGGACATAGTACATTATAACAAAACTGTAATAATCTATAACTTTGAATGCTTACGTAATAGGCCTTGGAGGGCAGTCAGCGTGTGGTAGGAGTAACCGAGCCGCTTGCATGACGTCGTCTGCATCAGGGACTGCAGGAGGAGGCCGAAGTGTCGCGTGAGCTCGAATGACTCGCACCCACTCCCCTAGCGGAGGTAGGGCTCCAGCACCTCGCTCTCCCCATAATCCAGCACCACCACAACTACCCCCACTCGTAGTTGAGTGTTCCAACTACCAAATAAAAAATATGTTAATAATTGGCAACGATTTGGCATAGCAACCTTCTCTACTGCAAAAACATTTATGGACTCTGATTTTTGACCTTTTAGACTTTAATCTGTTATATGATTTGGGTCTTTCTCCTTCAACAACACTTTTTACAGTAATTTTATGTACACTATGAAGATTTTAAGATTTCAATTATGCGTCCTAAATAAAGTTCGATTGGCGATGAGTTGATTATTTTTATACCTGTGAACACCTCATAAAATAATATAAGGCACGTTCCGCGGATGGTGACAGTGGTGGCAATCGTGGATGTACCCTTCGTAGGACAGCTCTTAGTTCCGTCGCTGAACCAGCGCAGGTTGTCAGCAGAACCGATGCTGTGGAGCCTCCTGAACTGTTGTTTGATTCTGCTGAGGTGCCCGAACCACCTATATTAAGATAAAATTTTAAATTAATAATGAAACTCCTTTACTTTGATTTTTGGATTGCAAGTAATTTTTATGTAAATTAGAATTCGGTCAGACCAATTTTGCATAGAGCAGTCTGTAGTCTGAAAATGCACCTTCGATCAATGTTTGTTCACCATTACATTTTAACCGTCTGGTGGTGACAAGAAATTCGTCATCCGAAAGGAGGGTAAAAAAAACGAAGTGCATTTGTATGGAACACTGGATTTCCCACAAAAAACCAGGTCCGCCAAAAATATCTTTATCCGATTAATTTAATAAGAATCACTGTCAAATGAATTAAATACAGTTTTATAATTCTTAAAATTAATGCAAAGATATACATAGCCTTATGAAACTTACCCGAACCATTTGTAGTGATTCCAGAATCGTGACTGAGTCCCAACTGCCTATGCTCAGGTCTTGATACTCCTGAAGATGACCCTGATCCCAAAGAACTCATGGATTCCCAACGAGACAGTGATAATGCTCCTGAAAAACGATCACGATGCTTGATAGCTCTTAATCCTCAGTCAGATTGTTTGGCATCTTGTTTAGTGTGAAAATAGTTGAGAAAGTGATAATATTAAAGATAATTGGAGTCCACAATATCAATTTGAGCACACAGTGTAAAGCGTTACATAATATAGAGAATGATGATGAAAATGAAGAAAAAACTTGTCGTCTAAAGCAGAAATTAGTGCAAAAGAGTCGGATTCGGATTGAGTCGTAAATTAAATGTATGTATGTGTTTCAATTGCAAATCATAGTTTTCCTTTTCAATATTTCTCCTTAAAGATAAGACAAAGGTAAGGCAGGTATGAATAGTGTCTGATTTGAAACCCCATTCTAAGAATAATTAATTTATCCAAAAAAAATCTTTACCTGATGCAACTCTTCCAGCATTTAAATGACTGTACGGTTGAAGCAGTCCCCAAAGATCAGCACAGTTTGCGACGGCATGGTCGACTAACGCGGGAGTGATAGACACGCTGGAAGCACTGTTACTGGCGATCAGCGCTATCTCCTCTAGGAGAGTCTCCATGCCAGCGCACAGGTAGATAGCTGCATATCTGGGGAAAGTTGAAAATTTATTTAAACGTTCAAAGTATTAGGTTAAAAGTTTATGGATTGGCGGGAAAGAGGCATACAAATTGCCTTAGGCATATTCTGCCAATCAACTTTCAAGTGATGCAAAGAAACAGAAAGTACGTGCATTACAGATGTTTACATCTGTATGCTTACATCAATTTATTATTTTATTGTATATAATATAATAATAGGTCTTTACCTATGAAATTGCCGTTTTGTATGCAATAAGTGAAAGTACTTATTTTTTCGAACTTTTTTTATTTCTGATATTCGAAGTAATCACCCATGCAATCGACGCATCTTTGACTTTGACTACCCACTTTTATTTTATATTATATTCAAACGCTCAATGGATTTATTTTGTTTACTTTTATGTATGTTTTCTCAGTAAGTGAATTTTGTAAATTCTTTTGAGAAATAAAGATTCTTAAACCACAAACACCCAGACCAAATCAAACATCAAATGTTCATGCACACAAATGTTTGACTTGAGCGGGAATCGAACCCGCGACCTATGGAATAGCAGTCCGTTACACAAACCACTACGCCATCCAGTCGTCAGTGTATATACTCCGTCCGTCATTTAGGACTCCATATAAGTCCTTTTACGTAGTCAATTTGGTTTGTAAAATAATTATACATGTAAATAGATCGAATATTGATATATTTAAGGTGTGTTTTTTAAACTTGATAAACATACTCATGTACAAAAGAGGCGACGCGAACATCTAGCATCCACCTCTGGAATCGTCCGGGGGCGAGACTGGTTCGAGCTCGCGCTGCTGATCCCAACCGCCGTGCTGCACTTCCTGATGTTGCATACATCGTTGCTGCTCGCTGGCAACCCTGGGCACAAGTTTTTAATCATATAATAAAATGGTTTGTACAGACTAGACCATGAGCATCGAATTATTGGCCAACACATACCTTGATACAGGCATCTGCAAGTGGCGTACTCAAGACTATTCTGAAAGCTCCAGCTACTTCATGTTTTGAGCAGAAACCGAAGTTTAGGGACAGTCGTTGTGCTTCTCGCGAAATTCTTACGAGTGCCCTGAAAAATTAAGTGTCGTACTGTAAATAAAATAGACCAAAGAGGACATGTATAAATAAAAATGTAAGAATAAAAATATAAAATATGAATTACTGTAACGAGCGGGGTATACAATAAATAAAAGTTGTCGGTTAATTACTTTTATTGCACTGTATTTACAAACACTCCTTATTACAAACAAGAAATCACTATATAATTCGTTAGTCGCACTAGAAATTTACTTCGATGTTAATTTGCTGTGTCGTAAAACAATACTGTCCCGTACGACCAACACTCCGCTTTTATGGTGCTATTGAAATTACTAGACTAATCCCGAATATCCGATGGAATTTTCCCGACAGAACCCCGTACAATAAGGCATCTAGAAATTTCTATAATCTTCCGATATTCGACACTAGATGGCACTGCAAGCAAGTATTGGAAATAAGAACCATAATCTCAATGCGTAGCGTTGTGCCCTACTTGATACTATATGGCACTGTCCTCCAGACACAACACAAGAACCACTCAATCATATGGCGCAACATAACTATGAATTGATTTTCAAACCAGGATTTAGAATAGCTCTATGTGGTCTGCAGGTTCTACCAGCCTTTATAGAACTTTAATACATTTTCTCTAATTTCGGTTAGCAGTCAGTGAAAAGGATACTTGTCATGTAGTAAGAATTTATAAGCAATATTTTATTTTGCTTCTTATCTTATACAATATTAAAAAATGATTGAAGTTGTACAACAAATAGGTAAAAATATGTACAGTAACATTAAGAATAATGCAGCAATGAAAACAGTTTTGTATTCATCAGAAGTTTAATAGAGAAAGCGTTTTGGTATGTCTGTCAACGCATTCCATAAATGTATGTACAATATACAAAAAGTTGTAGAATGCATTTTCTTTTATATAAGTTTCGCAGAATTTAAATTAAAAAAATTATTTCAATATTACCTTTGTAAAAGATAAGCCAGTCTCGAAGGTGTGTCTGGTGCCATTCTAGGTGCAATGTCGCGGCACCTTCCTGCTTGCAGAGCTCTGGTTACTTCACTAGCTGTCCACGGTACGCAGCGAAGTTCCACTAATCTGGAAACAAATAAGGCTAATTGATATAAAAATTGTCCTTGTGGTCACGGAATAAGAATATGGAATGTTACCACCCAATTCCATCCGGTAGGTGTCGTAAGAGAGACAACAGCGCTGCAAAGAGAAGGAAAACTTGACACAAACCCTTTCCTTTTACGTGTGGAAGCCCTCTGGGGCCTTCACCCCACCGGGGTTTACGGCGGGGTGGTGTGTCGGAATCGGACCGACTAAAACCACAAGGTGTGCCACTCTGCGCGTGTTATAAGAGGGATCCGGGAACTGCTGTTATTAAGACATCCGGACCCCTCCTAGCGCCTGCCCGCAACGGCGCGGGCACTTCAAATATACCTACCAAATTTGGAGAAGTAAATATAATGATATGCAGTTACTATTATCATTTTTTCCCTATACTCCAAAGAATGAATCATATTAAACAGTAAGTTAGTACTTGAGATATGTTTAAATATACGACCTAAAGGTATTTCTGAATATAATTTGACATTATTTCTTGCTTTGCTGTAGTTCAATTTTAGGTAAATGGTACCTGTTATGAGAATCAACCCATACGAACTCGTCAGCACTGGTAACATTTGTGCAGACGGTGTCCAGAGATGGTTGTCTCACCAACGGAGCTCGTCTCCTGCGAGCCTCAGCTGCACTGCCATTTTCTGGAAAAAAAAATCACATATTGTATTATTTGTCAAGAATAGTTCACACTTCTACTTGAAGTATACTTCAAAGTTTATACAATTATAGAAACACAAAAAAAATGTTAAGACTACTACAAGTCAGTCATGGTGTAATATATACATATGTTTCTATTGTATAACGATACCTATACTACAAAATTTTATACGCTCTTACAAGCTTTCGGTTTACTCATATCTGTCTGTCTGTCAGAAAAGGAATCCTCTATATCAATTACAGAGGTAGGTCTTTCTATTGTCTTTTTTAATATTTACAGAATAAATAAAAACAATGTCAAGTATAATAGTGCTTGCAAAACTCAGAAATGATGATATGACTGTATGCAGTACTATACGGCACTTTTATAATTTACCGATAGCTTATTGAAATACGTATTGAAAATATTATTTTTTCAAGTAATTCCACTATAATCCCACGAAAGTGACCCACGAAAACAAAAAGCATGAACACTCGACAAGATAAGCTAACGTAGATTGTATAACGAAATGAATCGAAAGTATATTGGAATAATTACAAATTCTAAGAATCCACATTAACCCCATAGCCTTTGCATTGGAAAGATGCCATATCTTCCGCAGAGAGAATCATTCTTCATTCCACAAATTCTAAGAGAAATTTTCAAATTACCTGGTGCGCCATTGTTACTGCCACCGCCAGCGCTTGACGCTCCACTAGTGGCGGTGCTACTGCTGTCTCGGGACCTCAAGGTCAACTGCTTGATGGCCGATCTGATGTCTTCCAGTCCACCACCTCCAGGCCAAGGGGACTGCAACTGAAATTATATAACGGAGACTTTAGTACTAGTTTGATCGCTCATTTCTGACGACCTGAATTTTCCTGACCTTAAATTATGTCGCTGCTCGTGTAAAAAGTTTTAACTTTCCTACTCCTCGAGCGAGGCCGAAAAATGTGTAACAAGACTTTTTTCTGACACTTTAAGTTTAAAGCAGCAATAGCAATTGCATAGTAAACGTCTACCAAAAAGCGAAAGGAACTTCGTGCCGACCCGCCGTTTTGTCCAAAATATCACACTGCTTTATAAGTTTGCAATTTTAGGGCACTACTCTCAATAAAGATGAACTGCAGTGTCTACGGGGAAATCTCATTTTATTACGTAGTCTTTGCATTTCACGGAAGAATAAAAACCAGTGGAAGTGAAACGAAGCGATCGCTCGTGTGTCACAATTGTGCGGAGATCTTATTCAAACTTACTATTTCACGTCTGGAGTCTGCCAAATCACCAATAATTAAATGATTGGTGATTTTACAGTTAAATAAATACTTGTTATGAAATTTTCATTCCAATTTTTTGTTTAACTTACCTTGTAGATAGGATCAAATCTTGCAACTGAAGTTTATGATATTTCCTTAATTGATTCAGGCTCCATTTATTCATCACCATTTATCACATATTATATTATTTTATTTAGAAATGTGGACATTGAAAGATACGTTTTCTATTTAAATAAAGCAAAGAAACAAAATTGTTTTATAATTTCCTAATTGTATACCTAACAATTATATTTCTATTACTCCGAAATCCGTTCTTAGTGTTGATTTTTACAGTACAGACCTAAGGTATTTAATATACCTTAATATAATTGTAATATACCTTACACACTGGTTGTTACAAATACGGACAACTATACCTAAACATATAGCTTATAAATATGTTTGTATTGAGTGGTTACTCAACCCACAACTTCTAAGGGCAGAGACAGATGGTTATTTAGTAATTTATTCCCTGATAACTGTTACCTTGTTATGGGGTCTATGTTTAGTTCTAGCGTGAGGCGGTTGTCGAGACCGCCTGGGCTCCTCTCGCCCCGCCTCGCCGCCACCCCCGCTGTCTGACATGGAGGCGTGACCCGAAGATCTGTTCTCGTCGGAGCTGCTGTTGCATTCCCGGACACCATTCTGTAATAAGAGATAAGTGATTTTGTGACTTATGTAAGTACATACATACACTGTCTCCCTAAATAGGCAGAAGGGAAGAGTAAAACTATTTCACAACCACGTTAATAAAGATTGGAAGAATATTTAAAGGTATGCCGGGAGGAGGACAATAGAAGAACAAACGTATTCATATGCATGGCTTGGGGCTTAAATAGGTCGGGAGGTCAGGGTCACGTACCAACTTGAACTGGCTCTTGCCTGAGAGTCCGAAAGATACCTTGAATACTTTAAGTACTCGTGGTGTTTCCCAAAATTGATTTTAAAATGTAGATAAAAAAAGAATTATTATAATAACCTCACACATCACACACACGGCTGTTTGATTCCAAACTAGGCAGAGTCTGTACTATGGTAACCAGACCGCTGATAAACATACTTATATATTTCTAAATACATACATATCATAGATAAATTACACCCAGACTCAGAATAAACGATCGTGCTCATCACACAAATACTTGTCCTGGGTGGGAATCGAACCCACGACCTCCGGTTTAGCAGTCAGTCAAGGGCAGGTTTATAGTTGCTTAAATGCACTACTGGCTGACCTGCGCAACTTTGTCCGAGTCTATCGAAAGAAATACATTTGCCCGTTTTTGCAACATTCGTCGTTGAGTCTCGCCTCCTATTGGTCGTATCATTGTGTTATAGCCTATAGCCTTCCTCGATACTTGGGCTATACATCACTAAATAAATTTTCTATTCGAAGGTGTAGTAGTTCTTGAGATTAACGTGTTTACCCAACCAAACAAATAAACTATTATTATCCTCGGTGGCGCAGTGGTAGCGTATGGGAGTGCAAATATTTGTTTCGGAGTTTGGGTGTTTTCTATTTATAATATGTATGTATTTACAAAAAAAGTATAAAAGTATTCAGTCAATCTAGCTTTCATAGTACAAGCTCTGCTTAGTTTGAAGTTAGATGGTATTGTGTGTCAGATGTCCGAAAACATTATTATAAAATTATTATTAAACATAAACTCTTCAGGTTTTTTATTTTTCTTGAAAACGACAAATACCGCATTAGGAATATCCGCATTATCCTGTGTCGCGGGGGACTTTACAAACATACATGAAGCCACGAAGAACACCCAGACTCAGAACAACAATTTGTGGACCACACAAAGTGTCGTCTCATGTGGGGATCGGACCCACGGATCGGACGATCGTAAGCGGCGTGGCGACCGCTTAAACCACTACGCCATCCGTGCAGTCAAATTTTAAATGAAAGGTACTGATTTGTCACTGAGCATTGGGAATGTTTTAACTTTCACCCATCTCAAGTTACATATGTAATATTAAAACGCTATTTCCACCTGTATATTTGTTATGTTGTCATAGCTGTCTTTCTCTGTACAAATATCCGTTCCTAATTCTTTGTCTTTAAAAAAAAGACAAGTCCCGTACTAGAAATGTATACCGCGGGGAACTTTACAATGGTTCATAAAGACAAAGAACATCTTGTGTGGATCACACAGAGTGTTGTCCCATGACTAAACAATTTTGAGGAGTAAGGAAAATATTAGACCTATACTTAATGTTGAGCAGCACAGGCCCTAGTCTATTGGTCTTTTGGTTAGTGACTTTGACTGTTAACCCGGACGTTGTGGGTTCGATTCTCACTCAAGACAAATAATTGTGTGATGTATTTTATTTGTGTAATTTATTTATATTAGGACGAACTATTTAGGTATGTTTATCAGCAGTCTGGTTACCGTAGCACAGGTTTTGTCTAGTCTCAAACTAGACTGTCGTGTGTAAGATGTGTGAAGATATTATTATTATTAACGAAACACATTAAGTGCACAGGCATACACAAGTAAAATACAATTATCAAACCAAAGAATGTTTCCAACAAAAAAACCGTTAAGAGTTACAACATCCGAGGCCGTCTTAAAGAATATAATCATACGTCATCATTAAGATAACTACACCTCATCAGTCTTATGAAACTCATCCAAGATGGCGGCCATTGTCGCAGATGCTTTCGCTTTTAACAATATTTAAAGCTTCCCACCGATTACGCTTTTCCCTATCAAAAGATCGTGGGATAATTTTTAAAACAATGGTAATTTACTTTTTTTGCTTTGGTAACACTTTCGCTTAGTGCCGTCTGTGTAGTTAATTATATCAGTTTTATAATTGCGATCTGATCGCTACAAAACAACAAATAACTATGACTTAAAGAAGCTCCATTATATGCTTATTCAAGTTTCTGAATTTACTAAAACTTTACGCACAAAGCCGATGCTTAGGTTTCCCACGAGGTCCTATATCCGTCTAGCAAATATACATTCTTGATAGAATGTAACCTCTATCTTTTACAGATCTCCTCTTTCTTTTTTTTTAGAGGCTAACGACGTCACTCGATAGGAAATGTCTAAGATGCCCTTCTTCCTACTAGATTTGTTTCCAAACTAGGTTAGGGTGGGATTTTAAGTCTACTAGGATACGGCTGAACTTGAAAAAGGTCTGACTTAAATAACTCTTGACTGAGGGGACTAGAAAGGTAGTTAGCAATAAGCTGACGAAAGATAGAACTCATGGCGCCGACGCTAATTAAATTGGGGAAGGGGTAAGAAGAGGATGGCAAGTGAAGGCATGAAAATTCATAAGGATTATTAAATTATTTATGTTCTTTATGTTCTTCTGAGTCTTTTTCCCGAACTAGGCTGAGATCTGCTTTAAGTCTACTATCATAAGGCTGAATTTGATTGCTCGGATGGCGTAGTGGTTTGTGTAACGGACTGCTATTCCAAAGGTCACGGGTTCGATTCCCGCTCAAGTCAAACATTTGTGTGCATGAACATTTGATGTTTGATTTGGTCTGGGTGTTTCTATGTATAATATGTATGTATTTACAAAAAATAAGTATATATGTATTTATATCAGTTGTCTAGTACCCATAGTACAAGCTCTGCTTAGTTTGGGACTAGATGGCGTTGTGTGTATGTGGTAAAATATTATTATTATAATTAATTGCCATCAGACCTCCACAACCCAAGTACTAGGCGATATCGAATATCTGTAGAAAGACTGTTGTTGGACTTTTTAGGGTTCCAACTGCCTGCAACGATTGTCACAGATGTTCGTATGGCAACCGGGGCCAACGGCTTAACGTGAACTCCGAGGCACGGAGGGTGTCAATGTATGGGGTCTACCATTAAGAACGTCCTAGTTCAAAAATTGAATAAAACACACATTTTTTTATGAAAAATGCATCCGATTGATTTATTTGATAGATAATTTTATGCAATTTATGTTTTAAATAATATATCGGCCAAATGACCGTCGCGGCTCTTTTTGCAGACGGTCACCCGCTCACGCCAATTTTCGATGACGCGGTGCTTCGTCACATTCAAAGAAGTTTTGGACAATTTCCAAGCGTTGGTTTAAAGTGAAACGTGACATGATAAAATTGCAAACCTTACTGAACACAAATGTCAAGAGACGTCAAATATCCATCACCAAACATGGCCACTATGAGCTGTCAAAACCAGGTCATCCCTATTGGTAGATCCTTTATTATGAATGGCCACCCATCCATAGGCTGAACTATTAGTTATTCGCCTGTTAAGAAGATATAAAATATTAAACAGACAACACCGATGACATCACTGGTGGAATTCCTGCTTTGATTCCACAAGCAGGATGGACATTAAAAATAGGTGATTAAAAAAAAGAATTATCCAAATCTCGGAATTCCCAAGTGACTCCAATTTCAAATACTATAATTACGCTTAATTTTTTCTTGGGTAAATTATTCGGAACAACAGTAAGCACTTATATTGATATGAAGATACATATAATGTATTACAGTAAAAACTAGGTGATCGCGTGATCAATAAATCTAAAACTGCTAAAAACATGCCACAGTAATATGTAGCATTCGGTTTTATAATGTTTTCGTATGAATCGATTTACACGCATGTAACAAAATCCCGTAACATAACGCTGAGTAAGGGCCAGTATAGACCGAGAGATTTTTGTAAGTCATACGAAAATAAACTTTAAGGCGCAATGTAGTGAATACACGTTTCAACGCGATCTGCGCCGCGACGACGAAAATGCCCGAGACCGCGCTAGGATTATTCCTGTCGGTCTGCGCTGACCCAAAAGCAGTTAATAAAAGTTTAGAGGGCCTAGTTCGTGTCTGTTTCACATCTATTCGATTTTCGCGGTGAGCGCGTTTGGCGCTGCTATTGGCCTGGGCTGAACTCTACACCAATCACAGCGCAAAACGCGCTCACCTGGACGATCGAATATATGTGAAATAAACTTACACTAAGAGCCTCAAAGCCTGCCAAAGCCTGTTCGAGCTATTACCGCCATTCATCGGTGCGTATGTGTAAGCGATATCCATTTCCTATTGTTCTCCCTTCTTATCTACCTTTCCTTTTAATAACACTCCTAACCTTCCCATGGAACATACTAGCACACTAACATAAAGCAATATACTAGTCTACTAGACTAAAATTTAAAAAAAAATGAAATAGTCGGGTTATTTTATACGCCTCTGCTGATTCCTTTCGGTTATATAAGCGTGAGTGTATGTAACTCACTCTGCTTGCACTAGTTGGGATTCCGCTACAGGATACGTATGTGACATGTGTTAGGAGTATTTGCCCATCATGGCTACCATTATCCTCATGTGCGCACAATGGTGGTCATAGCCTTTATTTTTTGTTCCTGCATCTATTCTCTTAGTTCTTTTAAAAAACAACTCCCGCACTAGGAATAAATCCTGTGTCGCGGGGGACTTTAAAAACATGCATGAAACGGACACGAAGAACACCCAGACTCAGAACAACAATTTGTGAATCACATAAAGTGTCGTCCCATGTGGGGATCGGAGCCACAACTCTCAGCGTAGTAATGAGCGGCGTGGCGACCGCTTAAACCACTACGCCATCCGTGCAGTATTAGACCGATACTCCAAAGATGATTGTTTTGTTCTCAAATTATAATAGTCCTTTAATGTAGAATAGTTATGTTATGTTCATAATAAAGCTGTGATTTATGTTTCGAGTTTTATTCTAAAAAGTGCTTCACTGACCGCCATTGCCCTATTCTCCCTTATGTATTGTACTTTTCAGTGTACTGGTTCAGAATTGAACTAGTCGTGTTGAAAACTATTGACGTGTCTCCTCTTAAATCTTTTCTTTATACATGTTTTTATTCAATACGTAATGTCGATTGCTTGAGGTCGAATAATCGTTAATTTAGATAAGTATGTACCTACATCAGAGAGGTTAATCTTAAATGACCAGAACATACAACTATCAATGACTAATTATAAATCACTTACATAATTACACAAAAAAAGCCGGTGTTCGTGGGAATCTTAGTAAAATTAACGAATAAAATATTAGAAAATTACAAATACGATTTATCGACTTTATTTCTTTCTAAGCTGATGACGTGGTGTCATGGCGGTTGACATTTGACACACTTGTAGAAGAAAAAATAAATTAAAAACTTTACAATTAACTATAAATAGAATTTCAAAACTTATGAACTGAAACTAATCTTTTTTCTATTGGCAATTATCTAACTATTAGGTTTTTGTTGTTAAAATTCATAGAGTCATAATGCAATATTCATTATTTACGTTCTAAGGATCCTTGAGGTATGCGAGATGCAACCTTACTGGGAAGTATTAACAGCTCTTGAGTAATATGCAACGTCACCTCATCAAACATGCAAAACAATGTGTAATACAACGAACTGTAATATCGTTAGACTACAATTGAATACAGAGTTCAGTGAACCCGAGTCTTAACACAAGATCTTGCTTGGTCAGCAATCAAAGACGCGACTCACGAATAGAGAGAAGGCGGCACGGGCCCATTGAGGATGTCAGATTCTTAGAACTCCTAGGTAGAAGACCTAATGAACGTTCCTACCTACGTCACTCAAACGCTTGTTAAGTCAGACTTCAGTTATGAGACACGTATGTAATATCTTAACTTATTCAGCTAACATCAACAGCCTATACTAGTCCACTGCTAGACATAGGCCTCTCCTTAGAAAGGAGATTGTATTCAGCTAACGATGAACAGTAATTTTAAAATGGTTACGTAGCACATATTTCCTGTAAAAGATACGTTAACGCCTTAACTTTATTGAAAACAGCTACATAGCACCTTCTTCGATGTGTGGTGACCTGTGGAACCGTGTAGTGACGGATTAAGAATACGGAGTGTCATAACCTCCTTTCTAAGGAGACGCCCATGTCCAGCAGTGGACTGTTAAATGCTGTTGATCATGACCTTTTTCGATATAAATACAGATACTAATACAGCTACACAAAATCATAATGCACAAGGATCATGGTGCTGCACCTCACTTGACAGTTCTCGATGTATTTGTTATTGATAGTGATGACTTATCATCACAACATACAGCTGACTAAATAACAACATCAGTTTGGTGAGTAATACGTAACCTTTAATCTCCAATTTCGTTAAAGTACTTGAAATCCAATGGGGATACCAAAGACGATGATTATATAATATAATAACTCAAATGATTAATATTTAAGTACATCAAAATGTAGCCTTAGGTTAGTTTAAACCTTTGCATGTAGTCTATGAAATGTATTTATCTGTAAATATAGTATCTGGTAAATGTCATACGTGTAGTGACGGATTAAGAATACGGAGTGTCACCACCCCTATTCATCCCGTGAGTGTCGTAAGAGCCGACTAAGGAAGTAAACTACGCAGGCCAACAGCACTGCAAACAGAAGGAAAACTTGACACAAACCCTATACCAACCCGTCTGGCCATCGTGGTATAGTAGGCCAAAACCTCCTTTCTAAGGAGACGCCTATGACCAGCAGTTGACTACTAAAGACTGTTGATGTGATGATGATGATGATAGTATCTGGAAGATTACATTCTGTGCTATTCAAAATTATTTTCAATCTGCAGACGCGATAATTATCTACACAAAAATCTTTCTATAGAATGTTTCCAATGCAAATTCCAAGTAGTATTCATACTGCAGTTAGAGTGACTGCAAGTAGAGATAGACTCCGGTTTTTTATAGTAAAGTATTGGAAGGTTAAAGCACGAAGTAACATTACAGGTTTTTATTCCCTATGTTGGGTCATACTAGCATGTCCAAGGACATAAATTAATGACAAAATAATAGATTTATTATTTAGAAAAGAGTCGCGTTAATTTAATTATATTTATTTAATGATGAGTGGGTTTTTTTTTTGGTGTGTAATATTTACATAATGCAACAGTATCATAAACACATTATAAAAACGATAAGTTTTACATACCAAGTAAACATTTATAGACCTCCGAAAAACAGATTAAGTCGAGGAAAGGTTAGCTAGGTGAGCCAACCAAGCTCCTTCTAGTACCGCAATATTTGCGGTAAAATATTGTAGTTGCTTTGCGTGTCAGTAATAAAGTTTACGTAGTGTCATAATAACTGTTTATTGGAATGTCATCATACAATCATACATCATACATCATACAATAGTATGATCACGTAACAGTCAAAAGCCACACTAAATATCTGTTTTGGTTTTGGTTTTTTTAAGTTTTTGGTATGTTGAGGCAAGACTGAACACGTTTAATGCCATTCAAAGAAGCCGAATCGCGGCGTTCATGGCCCGGGTTGGTACGTGTAGAAACACTATAATTAAAGAACTTGCTGACAGGGTCTGTAACAGTTCCATGTTTATAAAATGGTTACAGATAGCTACATAAATAATTGTAACCAAAGTAAAGACATATGTATTGAAATTCAAATATCATAAACAACATTATATGGAAACTATTCTGAAATAAAGATTTATTATTAATATTTAATTGAAGTTTCGTTCAGATTTTGCAGATAGAATATTATACTATTATTTTTTTTTCCATGCGCTTGAATGAATGCGAAAAAAACCTGCGATAAGCGAAAATTCTAAGAATTTAAAATAATAAAATAGATTTTTTCAGTTCAACTTTGAATATTAATTTATAGTAATTGCAAAAAGAGCTTATAGAAACGAGAGGTTGGTCTATTGATAAAATCTTTGCGCGCCTTCCACCCAAACCGACAGCCCGCCTTAGGCGTCTTATTTTGGGAGGACCCGGACTATGCGATTTCAGCTCCTTCCCGAATTGATACTACGCCTAACCAGGCCCTATCCCAGAGGAAATGATTTCCCCCCTTCCAGCGCGTCATGCCGCACTGAGTGTAGAATGTATTAGTAATGAACGTAATATAGGACATCCAATAAAGTTGAGAAAAAAGCAGAAAGGTACTGATGATGATACGTTTATAATGATGCGATTTGATACGTTTTTATGGATAAAAAAAAAGGGTATTGTTGTTGAAAAGACCTTCGGCAAAGCAAATTCATCCGACCCAGACAGGATTATCATAAGCATAAATATTTTATTTATATCCTAAAAATCAGTTAAATGCTCTGCAGACTGCACGGATGGCTTAGTGGTTTATGCGGTCGCCACGCCTACTACTGAGTATTGTGGGTCCGATCCCCACATGGAACGACACTTTGTGTGATCCACAAATTGTTATTCTGAATCTGGGTGTTCTTTGTGTACGTTTCATATATATTTGTAAAGTATCCCGCGACACAGGATATATTCATAATGCGGGAATTGTCTTTAAAACAAAAGTACTTAAACTAACTCAGAAGTATTTACATGTATAATTTACCACTGTAGTATCATAATATTCTTGTCGGTGGCAATGGAGAAGGTTAGAAATCGTTTGACGGTTGTGATTTACCTGTACAGGGGGCGCGGTCTCCACCGGCCGATGATGATGATCTTGTTTAGGTGGGCGTCGTTCGAGCGCGTAGCTGTTCTGCGCGGGCGCACTCCTCACGGGCGCACTAGCTACCGTGAGCTGTGATACTGCGCTCACTGCCTTCAGCTGAGCACAGCTGGGGCCTTCCGCTGGTGGCTGTGGGGTTTCCTCGAGGTTTGCTGAAAAACATACATTTATGAAAAGAGAGTAGTACTCTTAGTTTAATTATCTACAAAGTCTCTTTTAACTCCTGAATTCCGCAAAGAAAAAGAAAAGAATAAAGGCGGTGTGCTCAGCAAGGCGCAAGTTACGCTGGATATTGCAAGGTCCATGGAGATTTTGTTAGGAAAAGGTTCATTTAACATAAAAATATATATATAAAAAATAAAATAAATAGACTTCTCAACTAAATGAATAACTAATATCCATACCAAATAATATGTCGGATATCTGACACACAACGCCATCTAGTTTCAAACTAAGCAGGGCTTATACTAGGAAATTCAAATTGACTAATAGAATATTTTTATACTTTTTTTTTGCATATATTATATATAGAAATCACCTAATCTAGAAACAAATATTTGTTGATCATACACACATTTAGTCCGACCCGGGAATCGAACCCAAGACCTCAGCACAGCAGCCGCATACGCTACTACAGCACCATAGAGGCAGTTAAACAATGAAATATGTACATATATGGTAAGTGAGCACCAGAGTAATCGAGTGACGACCGTTTAAACTGTTTTTAACACGCTTTTATTAGCTTCACCTGTATGTTTGTTTGTATGTAACCGACTCCTTTGGGCGTAATTTTGACTGACTTTAAACGGTCAGAATTCGTTTAAACTTTGTAGATATATCGAGGACCGATGACAATACACTAATATAGAAAAAAAATGAAAAAAATTATAGTTTTAAAAAAAATATTATAGTTTGAAAAAACTAAAAAACACGCTTTCAAACCAAACTAAAAAATAGAAAATAGAAATAGAAAACATAAATAGAAAATAGAAATAGAAACTAAAAAATAGAAAATAAATTTGAAAAAAAGCGTTGGGTGCCTGTTGTCAATAGTAAAAAGCACCCAACGCTTTTTTCAAATTTATTTTCTATTTTTTAGTTTGGTTTTCTATAGAAAGCGTGTTTTTTAGTTTTTTAAAACTATAATTTTTTATTCATAATGTTATCCAATGTTCTCATATAAGTGACTTTGTCTTTTTGAGTATAAATTCTTTAAACCTAAACCTAACATTAATAGTATTACAACTGTCTGAATGTCTTAGATCTTCAAATGATGATGATGAAATAAACACATGCAGTAATTACTGTAAATAAATATAATGTTGAAAGCTCTTTAGTAGGTAACATTTAGTTCTCTGCACTTCAGTGGTTGATTACACACCGTCATAAAGCTTATTCTACGAAAATATTAATTCAAACCTTTAATAGTCCACAGCTGGACATAGGCCTCTCCTTAGAAAGGAGGTTTTGGCCTTCTATACCACGCTGGCCAGACGGGTTGGTATAGGGTTTGTGTCAAGTTTGTCTTGTCTTTGCAGTGCTGTTGTCCTGGGTAGTTTACTTCCTTAGTCGACTCTTACGACACCCACGGGATGAATAGGGGTGGTGACATTCCGTATTCTTATCCGTCACCACACAGTATTTATTACATACCTACGTTTCCTTTATTATTTTGGCTAGGAAAGCCTTAAAAATGCTTACGATTTCTTTGTTCTATGTTGGGTGTATACTCAAAAAGCAGATTATAACTATATTAAACCAAACTTTCAAATTCAAGTTACTTTATTGCGAAAATGAGTAGGTACAATGATTAGTGATATAATAATGTGGCATACCTTCTCAATAATCGGCCTCTCCGCACGCAATACTTAACATTTTATAATTACATGCTTTAGGAATCGAACTACAACATTGTTCATATTCAGAGATTTAAGAATGTAAATATATCATATATTTATAACTATAAACTAAATGAAAAGAGGTGCATTTTATGTCAGTGTCATTCAAACACACGCAGCATATCAGCCTCAAGATAGCCTCGACGGGCCTGTTGGTCTAGTGGTTAGTGACCCTGACTGCTACACCGGAGGTCGCGGGTTCGATTCCCACCCAGGACAAATATTGTGTGATGAGCACGGTCACTTGTTCTGTGTCTGGGTGTAATTTATCTATAATGTGTATGTATTTAAAAATATATAACTACTAGCGGACCCGACAGACGTTGACGTGACACTGCGATGGTAGCGCCGTCTGTCTGATCCAATGTAAAACATTCCAAAATCAACAACTACTAATAAATTAAAAATTAATTAAAAAAACATTGTCCAGCGGACAAAATTGTGAATCTAAACCATTCCCAGATCCCCTTGAACACACACAAAAAATTTCATCAAAATCGGTCCAGTCGTTTGAGAAAAGTTCAGTGACATACACACTCACAGAAGAATTATATATATAAAGATGTTTATCAGCAGTCTGGTTACCATAGTACAGGCTCTGCCTAGTTTGAGGTCAGACGGCCGTGTGTGAGATGTGTGAGGTATATTATTTTATTTAAGAAAATTAGGTTATGATATCATGAATTATTTGAGCTGTAATCGGATTCAGAATTTTAATACAATCTGTTTTAATCTGCTTGTAATATTTGTAAAAAGTTGATGTTAAATTCTCATAACAGTTATGTATTTTTTCCGTCCACAGTATCTTTCACCGTGCGTGGTCCGAGGCTTGTATGGCCCCTTTGACTGTTGAACCGTTCACAAATATCTACATTTAAGATTATTGTCTGTTTAGTCTACCGTACATATTCTGTTACATCCATGTGATTATTTCAGCCAAAAATTATAGTTAATTGTATAATGATAGAATCAGAATTATAACTGTTAGTTATCATGGAGATAAGACCTTCTTTAGTCGGTGTACGCATGAGTTTCGCAGGCAATTCTATAGCCATTTTCCATTCTAATGTTTAAATTGTTAACTTCTGATTAACTTAGTGACGTGTGTAGACAATGAGGCTTAGGACTTGCAAAAAAGAAGTCGCAGGTTCGAATCTTCCCCGGTACATAGTAATCAGTGTAAACCCACCTAATGGGGGTTTAAAAACGCTGGTAATCTACTGTCTTTTTCTATTGATTATAATATTATATAGAAGGAAAAGGATAGATAGACAAATATTTAAAGATCTAAAATGTTAGAATTTCTGATCCCAATAATATTACGAATGCGAATGGTTATGTTATGAGGATAGGTGTATGGATGTTTGCTAGGTACTCAATGACGCCAGAACGGCTCGACGGATCTGAATGAAATTTGACATAAAGATAGATTTTATTATAGGATTTCATTTTCAATATTTTGTTTGTAAAGCGTTCTCTAAGCTACTCAAAATTTATATTAAAATGACTATATACTCAACTAAACGTGGGTTCTATACCTAATTGGCTTACTGATGCAATCCTATACCTTAAACCAATTTGTCAAAACTGTCGGTCTTCTAAGCTATAAATGAATAAATAAAGAAAAAAATCATTGATAAAATCGACATTAACATGAGCAAAGCCGCCAGTAAATCTAGTATTACATGAAATCTATCTTTTTGCTTAGTGTAATATTTTTAAAAGTGAAACTAATAACTTTTTATTTTTGTATTGTGAAGTCTGTTGATACTCACGTTTGGTGGTAGGCGATGTGGGTCTAGGCGGCGTGGTTGCTCTGTGCGCGTGAGGCGGAGGCGAGAGGCGACGGGCGTGCGCAGGCGCAGCGCCGCCGGACACGCGCACACGCAGCGCTCGCGCGCCGGACACACCCGACACTCCGCCGCACCACCCCTCCTCGGAGGGCCGGCACCCGCTCGATGGCCTGATGGGTGATACACATTTAAGAGTTATTTTTTAAATCTACGTTACTTTAAGTGTGTAAACAAATGGTAATTATATTTTGTTACATAGTATTCGACTTTCAAGACAAATCAGTTTGTGATGCAAGATCATTCATTATATTTCTAGATAGAGTATCGCACTAAAAAAAAACAAATTTAATATTGGCTAACCGGTAAATAAATAAATATAAAGTTTAAACAACTGAAACAAACGGGCCATTTTTATTATGCTAGCTAAGCGTTGACATCGACAAAAAGGCTGACACACAGCGACTGTTTTTCGATTTATGGAATTTAATGAACTCGAATTAATTGTAGCAAGTTAAATTGAAAGTCAAATTACAGTTATCCCAGACACTACAATTTTAGGCCAGACCTTCAATATCAATTGACGAACAAATCTATACTACAGCAAATAAATAATTTGAATTTGAAGAAGCTTCCTACAATTTCATTTAATAACTGTTATTGCATAATTCAAAATAGCTTCAAATAGTTGGTTCATTGTACGAAGTGATCGTGTCTGTTTTAGCTACTGTCGCTACTAAAAAAAGGTAATAAATTAGATGCATATTATCTCCTCATAACCTTTGGCCTCCGAGTAACGGAGATTAGTGTCAATGGAATGAGCTGCCGTCTTCGTTGGTTCGGTATCGAAACGCTAAGACGATTGTCGGTGACTCCATGTTTCAATTCGAATAGTTATTTTTCCTCTTCAAATATTTAAGATAAGTCTTCATAAAATAGAAACAAGCTGACGAAAGACGCAGTACAATTATTGTATAATTACCGTTGGCCATTGAACGATATCATGCCTATACTGAAATTCGACCATTTATATTTTTTATGGTGTTTGTTTAGTACATTCTATATCGTATCATATTTTAGATAGTGCGATTTGAAGTACATGCACGAGTATTTATCATATCAACAGTCTTTACTAGTCCACTGCTGGACATAGGCCTCTCCTTAGAGAGGAGGTTTTGGCCTACTGTACCACGCTGACCAGACGGGTTGGTATAGGGTTTGTTTCAAGTTTTCCTTCTCTCTGCAGTGCTGTTGACCTGCGTAGTTTGTTGTTTATCTTAGTCGCCTCTTACGACACCCACGGGATGAATAGGGGTGGTGACACTCCGTATTCTTGACCCGTCACCACACGGACGAGTATTTATGCGAGTGACCAATTGAAATATGCCAATTTATAGTTGTTTTCTTTTTAAATTAAGAACAATTTATAAATCTACAGATTGCTTTTAAACAAATATGTCGAATAATTTACAGAGAGGAGTCAAAGATGCAAAACAATATCTGGTAAGAATAAAGAAAATATTACATTAGATGCAGCAGCTGTCATCAAGAGCGAGGACTCCAATGGAAATAATGAATTTGTTACCGAAGTGTAGAACAATTCATCATCAACAGTCTTAAATAGTCAACTGTTGGACATAAGAATCTCCTTAGAAAGGAGGTTTTGGCCTACTATACACGCTGGCTAAGTTTTCCTTCTCTTTGCAGTGCTGTTGTCCTGCGTAATTTGCTTCATTAGTCAGGCCTTACGACACCCACGGGATGAATAGGAGTAACTGTATTCTTAATCCGTCATCACACGGACGACGTAAAACGATTATGCAGAATTAATTTTCTCCAAAACCCAAAAACCACCCGATTTTATACAATAGACGGGGTGTAAAAAATCGTATCCAGTTGATTTACCGTAAGGAAGGTTGCAACGGTGTGCATGACGAGTCAGATCGCTGTTACGAATTGACCTACGTCTTTATTCACGGAACAATTTTATGTCAAAACAAGTTTTTATTACCTACCATCGACTTGCATTTAGAAAAATTCAAGACCAGTTGTCAGGCTATGTGACTGTGACACCCCCTACAGACTCAATGGAGCTACTACGTTAACGAAGTTACATGATATGGCTATTTGACTGCGATTTTAACCGATTTCTTTTAAACAATTCTTAATATTTTATTTATTTATTTACAACTTTATGCACTTATGTACAACGGCCGGTTTAATGCCCTAGGCATTCTCTACCAGCCAACCTTTGGGGGGTGTAGAAATCTGGTGTGGTAGGAATATTTTGTATTGTATCAGTCTAAAATACTTACAATCTACAACAATTTAAAATTTTAATAAATAAAGATATATATATATATATATATATATACGCCGTTGTACATAAGTGCATAAAGTTGTAAATAAATAATAATAATTGCTTCAAAAACTTAAAAAACTCTGCACCAATTGAGCTTAAATTTGGACAACCCACTTCAAGGACGGTTTTTATCTATTTTTCGTATCAGATTTGTTCCTAAATCTCACTCATGCAACCATAATGTGCGACAGAGAAACGTGGCAGGGTGCAACAAGTTACTTATATGTATGTGACGATGATACAACGGGTTTGCCACGCCACGAGTCTTGTAGTATGTCAGGCGTGTTGCTCGAGATCAGGCGATAGTACGCAATGTTCCGTAATCTTTCTAATTACACTTAATTCATGAATCGTGCCTATTACCAATAAAAAGAGAAACGCGAACCAACTTGAACTTTACTTTTAATTTATTTGCGCAAAATAAGTTAATGGTTTGTGAGGAAAATTTAGCTGTAGGTAATTCATGATATAGGACATTAGCTTTTGTAGACTCTAAAGTCATACACACAATAGCAACAATCTCTGTTTGTCAAATATTTAGCAAACTAAATATATACGTATCGAAAAATCTCTTATATACCAATGTCCAAGGAGTTGATGAGAAGAAAGGTAGTAATAGTAAAGTGGGCGTGGGGGCGTTAAACTGTAACTCCTGTACACCAGGATGCACAGTAGTGACCCACAAACACACCGGACACTCGGGAGGTCCCAGAAAGTAATTAAACTGTGGAAACCGCAACGAAATTAATCAGAAGAAAATTGGAGGAGATGGAAATACAGTAAATCCACTTCCCTCCTTAGCAAAGCGGGAGCCAAAATGAAGTAAAATAGGCTTATACCCTTTTAAACAGGGAAGCACCACGGCCACAAAATATTACGGGTCCTACGTGAGCTATATTTAATTTCTATAATATGTATGGCAGAATCGCCTAAACGCACTGAAATTCACCCTAGTTGACACAAGATCCCCATAGTATACCGCCCCAGATGTCACCTGCAAGGTATTCAGCATTATATTACGTTCATTATACCAAAGACTACATTCCCAGAGGATATGATGAGCGGACTGTTCATAGTGAGAGTTAGGTGTTGAGCATTGACACAATGTAGTAATAGTAATTGGTTACCGTAGCCCATCGACTCAATAACCGCTAGTGTGTTGGTTTAGTGGTGGTTGTTAGGTTGGTGAAGATTTGATCTGTCCCTAAATAATACAGGCGATAATTTGTTCCATAGATTATTATTATCATTGGATTGCGGGCATTTTGTTCATTGTACTATACATATAACTATATAATAATATACAATAACTATATGTTATTGACGGGCCTGTTGGTCTAGTGGTTTGTGACCGTGACTGCTAAGCCAGAGGTCGTGGGTTCGATTCCCACTCAGGACAAATAATTGTGTGATGAGCACGATCATTTTTTCTGTGTCTGGGTGTAATTTATCTAAAATATGTATGTATTTAGAAATATATAAGTATGTTTATCAGCAGTCTGGTTACCAGAGCACAGACTTTGCCTAGTTTGGGATCAGGCGGCCGTGTGACAGATGTCTGAAGTTATTATTTTGTAATGTTATATTACAAATAAGCGTACCATGGGCGGTCTTATCGCTAATAGCGATCTCTATTAAAATGGAGGCATTTAATTGTGTTTCAGTGTAAATAAAATTATATATTTACACCAATAGATAGATATCTACTTAATTATATACACACATACATACATATAGCTACACGTTGAGTAAAGATTAGAATAATTCTAGTATTTTGAACAGTACTTCCGGTCTCATTTTTGTATTTAGTCACAAACTTTATTACAGGCACAAACTATGTTACTAAACTTTATTTTTAAAAGTTGTTCTATCTTGTACTGAATTCCATAAACGTAAAGACAAACCCTTTTAAAGAATCAAGAAAAAGTAACCAATAGAATGTATTGCATATATGTTTGTAAATATCATATTTTAAAATTTTGAGATTTAACCAAGCAGGTTAGCACATTGCCAAGTTAAGCGATTCTAGCCAGGTCAATCTATGGATGGCTGACCATTCTTAAACCTCCGTGCCTCGGAGTGCGTTAAGACGAAATTGGGCCCGGTCCCGGTTGCCATAAGAACATCTGTGGCAATCAATAGTCCAACAACAGTCTTTCCACAGAACTTCGATATCGCCAAGTACTTGGGTCGTGGAGGTTTGTTGGCTGTCACTCTACATGGAAAATCGAAGTTCAGCCTTGACGTACTAGACTTAAAGTCGACGTTACCTTAGTTTGGGAATGAGGCTCAGAGGAAGAGGTCAGCTCACAAAAATGACCACATCTTTAGATGTTCGCTACTCGATGTGTGGGATATTCTTGAGCGGCCTCTTGGTAGTCGGTAACAATCGCTCTAAGGAAGCACGGTAGATGAAAATTAAGATAATATACAATAAGTGCGGCAACACAATGGGAAAGTTTGTGTGTTCATGCATCACGGACGTACTGACAAACATAACGACTTATAGATATAGCAATGCGAATGTGGGTATTTTATGGGATTACAATGACGTATACTTGTTCACGAAAAGGCAACTTGTTATTCCAGTAAATGACCTGACTGATCTGTTGGTCTAGTGAACTCTAGTGGGTAGCGATCCTGCTAAATCAGAGGTCGTGGGTATGATCATAATTTATTCTGTGTCTGGATGTAGTTTATCTATAAAATATGTATGTATTTAGAAATGTATTATGTTTTTGGGCAGTCTAGTTACCATAATACGGGTTCATCATAGTTTGGAATCAGACGGTCGTGTGTAAGATGTGTTAA